TTGATGGTGATTTGCTTTTTTGCTGAGAGGCAGCAGGACAGTAAGCAGACAAACTTTAGAAGGACTGGTATCTGGGGCAGCAGCTGCCTGAGTCTGACTGGAGGGAACACATCCACCTGCCGGGCCCTCTAACACTCACTAATTAACACGTCTCTCATCTGTTTCATGTGTTTTTGAGACACAAAAAGACAGTCGACTGTCTCCCTGCTTGAGCCTCAGCTCAGTAGGCCTGGTAACTATTGCCTGATTAATAGATCAGCACATTAAAAATCTGAGTGCCTGGAAGGTTTTTGACTCTTTTCTAGGCCTTGAAAGACCACAGCACATTAGAGACACAGAGGATGTAACGTTTAATAATCAGTCTGTCTGGGCTTTTTTTCGCCCTGCAAGCTGTTTATTGAAGCCCTAATTCCTCCTCACATGACGGCTCCTGTGACAGAGCGGGAGCGAGCAGCATGCTGAGCTCTGACTGCACGAGTGCATGTGAATGCTGTGCTTGTGTAAACTTTCCACAGAACAGTTTTTTTTCCCTCTCACGTCAGTTTGTGTCACACAGTCATTCTGGGATGTTTGTCTGCATCAGGCTGCACAGTGGATGAACTGAAGTGCAGCACCAAGGCCCAGTATTTAGAAAATGAACATTACTCTTAACTTTGAGTCATGCAAAGCTACTGTAGTAGTCCTAGGATACAAATATGGAGTTTTTTTTTCTGTCCCCTTTCCCAGGTTTTGACAGACGTTCTTTTCTCCGTCGGTGCTCCAAAGTCTTTGTGGATTTTGATCCTGCTGTGTGATTTAGTTAAAAGGAGTCTAAATTTGTGTTTTAAAGACTTGCTACTGCATTTTTAGTTTCAGTAGAATATTTAATATCTTGCAGTCTATCAGCTGCTTGAGAAGGTCTTTGCTCATTGTTTAAATGCACTGCTGGTATTTATTATGGCATATGATTATTAGATTTCCCGCCTCCAGTGGCAGCTTTTCAGTCTCTGCTCATCACAGCAAATCTCTCCTTCCTCAGACGTCTGCTGTCCTTGTTTTTATCTCTAACTGGTACTAACTGTGTACTCCTGCAGATGCTTAATGTGTTATGTTCCATTTTCTTTTGTTGTTGCTGCAGTGTTCCTGCGGAGCCACAAGAGCCTGGAGTCTGTGGATCCTCAGTTCACCATGAGAAGAAAGATGGAGCAGCTGCGGGAGGAACTGGAGCTCATGGAGCAGCTGAGAGACGTGAGACAAGCTAATGTTCTTTTATTTTTTTTATATTATTTGAGTGGGGAGTGGGGGGTTATAGATCTGATATGAGCTTATGTCAAACGTATCCAGCCTGCATGACTGAGTTTAAGCAGGTTTTCACCCTGGCCAGACTAAATATCTGTCTCCATAAAAGCCTTCATTGTATCTTAGCTGAAATACGATCTGATGCAGATCTGGATCATAAACCCGGAGCTCCTCTTCTGATTTAAAATAAGTCTGACGCTCTGCATTGAACCACAGGGTTTTGTTTTTTGTTTTGTTTTCTTAGCTCAGCATTTTATCAGCTCAGCGAAATCTCACTGAATGAAAATTGCAAAGATGTAAGTTGTATGTTATATAATAATAATAATGATGGTAATAATATACAATTATATCTTTATATTTATGACAAGTGCATCAAATGACCAGGACGTTTTCTTTAGACATATATTTGTTTCTGTAAGCCAGAGGTCTCAAACATAAAATCAGGCACCAGGAACAGACCGGAAAACACACTGAATAAATGCATTGAATGGCTTTGGAAAATTATGAAGAAGGGCATGAACTTTGGACTTTTAACTGTATTTCTAGTTTTACAACTTTTGCTACTGGTAAAGACCTCCCACATAGCCATTTATACTACACCAAAAGTAATAAAATGATAGATAAGCAATTAAATAACACAAAAGTTCCTGTTTTCTTACTACCTACTGTAGCTACGTGACAGATGGGCAATGCGCTACCAGAACTTTCTCTGTAAAAGAGTCTGCACTGCAGCAGTATGTCTTTGTGTAGAAAAACTGAAACATACTACTGAAATTGGGCTTGTTTTTGGCACTTTTGGTTTGGCCTCTTGGGATCAGAAAGGTCTGTATGTCGCCTGCATGTAAGTCAAATGTATGTTGGAATGTGATGTAACCAACAGATTTAAGGATGGTTGTAATTAGTTAACCTTTAAAGTAAAGAAAACTTTAAAGCCTGCCAGCTGTCAGGGAAGTCCTGTTCTGTTTCTTTTTGGTTCGTTTTTTTTTTCATGTGAAGGAACCCAGAGCTAAACTAATCTCCCACTTTGTTTTGTGTTTTGCCACACTGAATGTGATGCGTTCAGATTTACTGTGACTCAGAGTTGTGCTATTTGGAGCGCAAAAGAAAACACGCATACATTCATTAACTGCATCTTTGAGCTTGACCTCATCAAAGCTACGGTTTTCGGGCAAATTCAGATTTTCAGTCATCTAAGTGAGTTTATGGAGGTTTGTTTTGGACGATATCATCAGGATGTCTGATTCTCTGTTTTCTCTCACTGTATAATACTGCGATCCAGTCCTTTTTACTCACACAAAGCTGCTTGCATTGTTTGCTCAGAGCATCGAGAGCAGACTGAAGGTCGTCCTTCCTGAAGACCTTGGTTCGTCTCTGATGGACGGCGTCGTGCTCTGCCATCTGGCCAATCACATTCGCCCGCGCTCTGTCGCAAGCATCCACGTCCCCTCACCTGCAGTGGTACGTCTCACTGACAGTTGCAACCTTTGACCCTTCGCATAATCACTGGATGAGCGTTCAGTTTCCCATTATCCCATTTAAAGTGTAAAAAATACAAAGTTGTGTTTCTAAGTGTAGCTCAGTAAGTTGTTATATTTGTCTTCCAGCCCAAACTCAGCATGGCCAAGTGTCGGAGGAATGTGGAGAACTTCCTGGATGCCTGTAGAAAAATAGGCGTACCAGAGGTAAGAAGTGCATCTTTGTACATTAATAACACCTTTACTAGAAGCCATGGCCTGTCTGAACTGGGGGCTGATTTCAAGTTGCATGACTTCCAAAACCTACTTAAAGTCTAATCAGTTATTACACACCCAGACTCTGAGTCTGTCTGACGCTGCAGTTATCAGATAATACCATGATGGCTACCGTGCAGCCCCACTGCTGCTGAAGGACATTTTGTAAGCCTGTGCTGGGATTTAAACCAGCAACCTCCAACCTGAAAACGCCCCCAGTTCTTCAGAGAAACTCCCAACTGAGTCCATTTCAGCCTGATTCAATGGGTTGTTGGCTTGTTGTTGACACAATAAGTCAAAAGAAGTGTCCTGCAAAAATCAGATCTCTTCAGCATTAGGGGTATGATTATACTTTAATGACACTGTAGCATTGGCAGCTTCCATTTCCTTGTAATTTATATCAGAAAGTGAGGTGAAAACTACAATTAAAGATTTTTGCCAGACACTAAATTATAAACCAGACATGGAAGGAAAGCTGATGGTTCTGTGTGTCTAAAAGCAACTTTTTGCATCCTTGAGCAATTAGAACTGATAACACAATTGCATTTTTTACCTTTATGCCACTGAACAATAAGTAGAGCAGTCTGACACAGGTTGAACCCAAATCTTACGAAAAACTTGAAAACCACTCAGCTTTTTCCCACGGCTGGTTAAATATCCTTTCTGCCTCCTTTTTGTTCTTTTTGTCTTTTTTGGCTGTCTAATGGGGTCGTTTAACTTCAACAATGCTGATTCATCACCGCTGTCATCGCTGCCTGCAGCTTACAGCTTCCTCCATCATGACAGAAGTCAAAGTGGCAGCTCCAGTCTGGTGCAGAGCATGCTGGGCTGATTGTGTTTACTCCTTGTGCGTGAACACACTTGTAGTTTGTTGTTCAGATTTGACTTTCCACCTCTGCACTGATTTAAGGAGTGTTGTTGTCCAACTGGGAACATATGATGTTTCATGCAGGTTTTTGTTCATAGACCCTGTGTGGTGGATTCTGAAAATAAAAAATAATAATAACACAGATTTAAAGTGAAAGTTCAGCAGTGTGCACAGTGATGAGCTAGATGTTAAATGCACACTTGATGGTACTTTTTATAAAAAATAAAATCGCTTGAAACGCCAAAACTTCCTTAAAAGGAATTTAAGCCCTTTTCAAAATAAACTTAAACTATAGTGAGGATGTGACGAAACAAACACTATGAAGTGTGTCTGTGTGTCGTGTTACAGAGATGTCTGCCGAGTCCATATCAGCCTGGAGTAGGTTCCAGATACACTCTTGTGTAATATCACTTTGAAACACAAGATGGTGCTCAGACCCTTTAGTGCAGGGGTGGGCAACTCCTGGCCTCGAGGGCCGGTGTCCTGCAGGTTTTAGATCTCACCCTGGGTCAACACACTTCGATTAAATGATTAGTTCATTACCAGGCCTCTGGAGAACTACAAGACATGTTGAGGAGGTAATTTAGCCATTTGAATCAGCTGTGTTGGATCAAGGACACATCTAAAAGCTGCAGGACACCAGCCCTCGAAGCCTGGAGTTGCCCACCCCTGCTTTAGTGGTATTGGCTCAAGGTCACTAGAGAGAACTGTGTATTCCCTGACTGATTTAGAAGTGGCTGCAGGCTGACATCAACTGCAAACAGGGTGCTCTGAAACCCTTGTGATTGCTTTGTTTGCTGGTCGATGGCTGCAGTTGCCTGTAGATTGATGGAAGACACCAACCTGTCTGCCTTTTAGTCTTCAAATTCGAACCAAAAAACATTTGCCTTCAAAGTAAGAGTTGTGCTTTACCTCTGCAGCAGATGCATTTCAAAAGGAGCAGCTTTTATGTTACACTCTAGCAACCACTTGCCAACTTGTTGAAGAATACACATTCTTGTCTAGCAACCAGTGGATACCAGGGGGAATCACTAACTGGCCTCTACGCCTTTTAGAATGAGGCCTTAGCAACTGATTTCATGGCAACTGCCAGCTAACACTCATGGAATACACATTTTTCCCTAGCAACTAAAAGCTGGGCAGATGGTCACTGACTGCTCTCTAGGTGTGAAGTTACTACGGTCAAATACCAAGATGGCATAAAAGTCAACTTTCAAGACTGCAACCTGTGGATAGTTACCCCAAAACCTTTTGTTAAAGTGCTGCCACCTTATGGTGAAAGACTAAATTAAAGCCAGTAGCTGGTTAGCTTATGATAGCATAAAGACTGTACACAGATGACCTGTTTTTTCTGAGGAAAAACATCAGTTTGTCATTTTGACAGCTGCTTCGTATGCATTTTGGGTCTCCATAGGAAACATATTTTTGTGCTTTCGTTTTTTTATTCAAATTATGTCAAGTTGAGTTTTGACACTCACGGTCTTCCTTATTATTAAGGCTGATTATACCTTATTAGGTTGAAAATAGCTCAGCATTTGAAATGCTGCTGTCTCTCCATTGTCCTTTGTCACTCATCAACCAATCAAAATTAGGAGAGGGCAACATTTACAACATCTCAACTGCAAATAATTGTAGAAGAGAAAACTTAGGTTCGCTTTTGCTAGATTTCTATAATTTTACATAACAATAAATGTTTGAAATGTGTGCTGTGGAAATTAGATCATGGACAACTATAATGCAGCATTAGTCCAAAGACATGGCTCATTACCAAGGTACTTATGTTTCCCAGCAGGCTGTGTAGAATTAAAGTCTACAGTCAGGAAAGAAAAATAAACACAGAGGGGTACACCTGCTGTTACATCCCAGCACACCTATAGTTCAAGGCTACCTGGCAGGCGGACCTTGTTACCACTATACTCATCCAGGCTGGCTGTTTCCGCTTGTTTCCAGTTTTTATCTGTAGCTTCATACTGCAAAGCAAGATCAGTCTCAAGGAAAGCAAGAAAAACTACTCATTCTGCTTTTCTGCAACTGTAGAAACAGAAAAGGTCCGACTTTAGAGGTAGAACTGCTACAGATCTAGAGTTGAGGTCACATTCACAGGCTCCATTTGCCAGTTTAAGAAAAACAGGAGTACAGATTTTTTACCCGGTGCTGCTCAAGGGTGCAGGTTATTAGGGGAAATGCAAATATTAGATTGTTTTTTTCTGCAATCTTGCATTAATGCAAAAAAGTAAACAGCAGCATGTGTGAGACATGTGTCAGGGTTGATTGGTTATTTTATTACAATTTATGATTGGTAGTTTGATTTTTTTATTTAATGTTATGTTGATATCTGTGTGTTTGTTTTGGGTTTGTTTTGTTTTTTTGCTCTCTTATCTGTTCAAATTAAAGTTCAAAGGTTTAACCTGCCTTGACCTTTTGACCTCCATCTCTGCTTGCTGGCTGTTTTCTGGCCTCTGTGTTCGCTAGCCGCCATTTAAGCTGCAGCCTGACTGCTTTACTAGCAACGCTTCTGCAAAGCTTCCCTGCGCTTACGTGCTAACAGCTTCTATGCTAATGCGCTGGCCTGCTGCACTGGCTCTCCCATTAGCCACCTCACCTCTTCATCACTGGACTGCTTACTGGGAGGGCAAAGGGTTCTGCAGAGGTTTTCAGCCATCCTCTCAGTAAGCATCCCTCCTTCCCCTGCTTGCCTCACCACCAGCTCCTTCACTCTATGACCTTTGACCTCTGTATCCATTGGTTAACCTTCTGCCTTTTCTCTTTTTTACTTTCCGGCTGGATCGCACCACGTATCCCTCCTCCTTTCCCTTGTCTTCTTCTTCTCCTCATCAACCTTCTTGCTTTTTGTGGAGAATATTTAACCTTTTTCTCATTTCTCAAACTTCAATCCATTTTTTTTTATCTACACACTTGTGTTTTCCTTCACTTGTTGCCTTTTTTCCTCCTCATGTCTTTTACCTTTCCATCATATTCTCTCATTTGTTTCATCACACATTCCCTACATTCCATTTATTGCCCTATATTTCTCTTTCTTCTCTGTCCTACTTCATCTTTCCTATCTTTGCTCCCTTCATTCCTTCTCTTCCAACTTCTCCCACTATTTTTCCTTCTTCCTCATTCACTTCCTCATTTCTTCCCTCCTTTCTTCCTAATGGGGGTAACAGTCGTCCCTCTGCTCACCTTATGACATCATCCAGTGCCGCCTGCAGCCGGTTCGCACCACGGTTCGGGCGCTGGTTGCCTTGGATCCAGACAGGAAACGCAAGGAGGCAATCTCAGCTGCAAACCCCACTTCCCCTGGGGCATCAGAGACTCCCTTATTAGTTTCTGTAACCACTCAAACTCCGCCTCCTGCCTGGCAGATCTGGGACCTTATTGGTTCGAGCTTAGTTCACATCCTCTGCCTTGTTCTGCTCTTCGTGGCCTATAGTTGGACCGAGCTGACGTAACCGTGACACCCGCAAGCTCTGCCTTCTTTCTGCCCAGGCTCCTCCTCCTTATTTCTGCTGAATTTGTGTCACACGGGTGGAAAAAATTTTCATTTAGTGGCTCATCTGTTATTATTCGGTCAGTGTTGCAGTAATTAAGTGTTAAATTGCATTCTGTGTGGTGCTAAAATAAGAAAGAGGAATACTTCCCATGAACATAGCGGTCGATGCAATGAGTCTGTTTTAGTCACTGATTGTCAGCCAGTCACCAAATGTAACCATGGCGATCTTTCAAACAACAAGCTCAAATAAACACACGACAATCTAATTTCCTCACATAGAATCTATAATATTTCTATTATTTTTAATGAGCACCATCCCATGTGACACAAATGCAGCATCAGCATGAGTGGATGCCTCTTCTTTTATCCTCCTTTTATCCTTCTATGACGTCTTTGCAATAAACTGAAACATAACAAAAGCAGGGCATGCAGAGTAATAGCTTATCTGAAGTCAATGATGTCTTATCAACATGTCGGCCAGCAGAGATAATCACATCTGTGCAGGACCGAGGGCTTATTGCTTTTCTCTGGGTCACGTCAGTCTGGGGCTCTGAAACGGTTGAATTTCACTGAAATTTCTTGCAGAGG